CGCGGGGAATCTACCCACTCACTCGCCGCTCCCACCTCCGTTTCCGGTGTAAAGACAGTCAGTAAGACCGGGAATGAGGGAGGGTGTAGGTGGCTGGCACGGTAGTCACTCAACACGCGCACACTTTACTCAGCACATCTCGCTAGGTAGGCTCCCGCGTGTGCGGGATCACCATAAAGGCCACATTAAGAAGGAGCCATTGCGACCTGACTCTCAGTCCTCCATCTCCTCCCATACGCACACACAAATATTCACGTCCGTCCAGATAGTCGAGGCTGCCCAGGTGCCACTTGAACACGCCCCTCCTCCACCCTCGGCCAGTGCAGCACACCACCACCCCTACCGAGTAATACCACACGCACCAATTGCTCCACCAAAACAGCTACCACCTCTCGCTCATACTATGTGTATGAACAACAGTTTCATTTTTCAATCGCGCAACCGCCCGTGGCTTCTCCTTGACATATATTCTGCTTTGTCAACTCACGTTAAATCTACCCAGAGACCTTCATGCCGAGGACTTGAGCAGTTACTAATAGTAACAGAAAGTGGCGTGTACAGAGTAAAGCATTAATACATACAAGAATCCGATACAGCTTGCATCAGAACATATCGCGCCAAGCAACTTTTTTTTCAAGACCCCACCGTCTCGCAGAGTAGGTCGTTCGAGCGCAAAAAGCCGACATCTGTCAGGATTTATCGTTGCCAAAAATTTTAATCATTCTCCTGTGAGATAATAACACTGCAGGTTTCTTGAAAAAGTGCTATTTTTGTGCATTGAACTCGGTCGCTCCGTCTACAGTTTGTGGCAGTCAGGAGTCTTGTACATCGGTGTTGTGCGTTATGTGTCACACTGCTTTGTTAGCATATTTTACTAACAAGTACTATTTTTAACTTTTCCAGTTTATGGCTTATGGTCTGCTACAGTGTCTGGACCACCTTCTGGTCATCTACACCTTCCTGCCCCTGCGTTGCCTCGTCACTTATCTCACCCTCGTGCTCTTCGTTCTTCGCAGTGTTTTTGGCCTGCTTATTCCCAGCATCAGGTTAGTAGTTGCACCCCCTCCCCCGGCCCTGCGGTCTTCCTGCTTTGTGTATTCGCACCTTAAAGTACCTTATAACAACTTCTAGTTGTTCTTCTTCTGCAACCTCGTCCTCTTGAGGACATTTAATTGTTTGTTTTACCAACCTTTGTGACTGCCTTCCGGCC